CTATAATAACCCTGATTGTACATATTTAAGATTTAAAAAGTTTGCTCAGTTTACATGACTAAAGACTGGTCTAATTTGAATTCAGATATTCACACTGAGTAAAAAACAATGTGCTACAAAATGACTTTTATCCCTTGATTGGTGAAATAATTATGGTTTCCGTATCGAGTGATTTGATATCGGCTAAAATACTAATCACTCCTATTTACCCAAACGCTCTACTGTCTACAAACTTTGCTAAAATTGCGTGAATCGATCCAGGAGCCATGCGTCTGTAACTAAACGTTAATTTGCGTGTGTGTTTGTTGGTATAGGAGGCCTTTAGAGCTGGACACTGATGGTATCTGGTGTGTCCTGCCTAACTCCTTCCCTGAGAACTTTGTCATCAAGTCCAGCAACGAGAAGAAGCCCAAAGTGACCATAAGTTACCCCGGGGCCATGCTGAACATCATGGTCAAGGCAGGTTCATTTCCTTCCTGACGAATAACAGTTCTTTGAATATATAGAGTATATTTTTTGAGGTATATCCTATAGCCTGGTGTTAATTTATTGCTTTACTCGTGTGCCGTATACAGGAAGGCTTTACCAACGATCAGTACCAGGAGCTGGTGGACCCGGCCTCGCTCACGTACGAGACAAGGTCGGAGAACAGCATCTTCTTTGAGGTGGACGGACCGTACCTGGCCATGATCCTGCCTGCGTCTAAAGAGGAGGGCAAGAAGCTGAAGAAGAGGTGAGAAGGATGTAGCGCAGCAGCTTTTGTCTCTGTTCACAGGTCGTTATTTTATTAGTTTGACCAAATGAGACAAGATCTGTAAAAGACGTTCTTTGATCTACAAGTAACAACCGTGTTTTTACCTTTTTCACATATACACACATTAGGCTAAAATCATGGACTGACTTTAATCAGGTCCAGATGTCCTTGATCAACCGTGTCTTTCCATAAAGACATATACAAATCTTTAAATTACATTCTTAAGTAAGGTATGAAACACGTCAGAGTGTGCTGTTATAGGAAAATAATCAATGATGCGATGGTGTGATGCAGCCTGACGCGAAATAGAGTACCTATTAACACCCAGGAGTTGATTATTTTCCTATAACGGAACATCCCGAGTTCGATGCAAGCTACATTAGTTAGCTTAGATGGAGTAGGGTTGCAGTGGAGAAGAGCGGGTTTTGTTTCACTTCGGAAAAGCGTTTCCGTACAGCTGTAAGGAACGTGCGCGTCATTGCGTCGGAATCCCTCGTCGTCAGTACCCGAGAGCTGCTGATCATCAAGAACAAGCCGTTATTATTTTCCCTCGCCTAGCCTTGTCTTCAGTCATTGTTTCTCACCTAGCATGCATCATTTCTGCTGTTAGTAATGAACTCCTCATTGCTAAGTTTGACGTTTAAGATGATTTATCAGGTTGCTTATGTTGTAGGAAGATGCTCTAGTTCCTCCTCTTGACATTTTCCCAAAGCACAGTGTGCAGTCTGCTTTGCGTTGATCATTAGTCGTGAAATACGGCCAGGTCGCTGTCTCTTTGTGTCGTCTGTTCATCAAGTAAATGAGCTCAGTATCACATCCTTGGGTATAACAGCTATAATCAGTTGTTGCCTCACCAGCCTCTTTTTTTTTTTTTTTTTTGGACAAAAAACACAGCTTGTCATGTTACAGAGAAGGCACAAAGCCCTCCGTCCTGAAGACTTTCCTAAAGATAATCGACAATTATAAGTTTTTGTTTTTGTAATGGGTTTATGTGGATCGTCCGCCACAAGTCCCCGTGAATTAGTTGTTACTATAGAAACAATACCGTATTCGATAGAGCGCATTAATATAAACCTGCGACTTGACTTGCAGTCAGAATTACTGTCAGAGGTGCTGTTATAGAAAATTATTCAGCACCTTCTGACCAATCAGATTTGAGAATTCCATAACCATGTGGTCTAGGCCACATTTATTTAATCATCAACTGCACAGTTTTAATGCAATTCTGCCTTATTTTGGGGTGCCTTATCTGTGCGGAAGGAAAAAAAAAGAATCTGGTTGCCAGGAAACATAGCGACTACATAAGTGGAAAATTGGACACGTTTTAAAAAGTCTTCATTAGTGATGGCACACTAGCTAATAGTGCATGACCTTCTGTTGGCTTGTTTACAGTCTGATTTAATGCTTGTTTGTGTGTGTGTGTGTGTGTGTTTGCTGTCAGATATGCGGTGTTTAACGAGGACGGCTCTCTGGCCGAGCTGAAGGGTTTCGAGGTAAAGAGGAGAGGAGAGCTCCAGCTCATTAAGATCTTCCAGTCGTCCGTGTTCGAGGCTTTCCTCAAAGGCACCACTCTGGAGGAAGTCTACGCCTCGGTAGCCAAAGTGGCCGACTACTGGCTGGATGTGCTCTACAGCAAGGTAGCGTGGGATAAGATGGTGCCCCCGCAGCGTATTCTATTAGTGTACATTAAATAACGCGTATACCACAGAGCTCTTGAGTTCTTAAATCTGATTGGTCAGAAGGTGTTGATTTAATTTTCTGTAGCTCTATTTATTTAGTTTTGGGAAGGAGCCTCCAGTGTCGGTGCTTTGTAACAGTCCGTCAGTTTTCCAACAAGGTTGGAAAGTCTTCTGGACAAAGGAATTTGCACTTTGCAGTTTCTTATCATGACAGGCTGCATTTTTTTAAAAATTAACTTTGAGAGAAAGAAAGAAAGGCTCTTGCACTAGCGACTGTTTGTAGCTGCTGTAATGTAAGTGATAACAGGAACCAACTTATGTTGTGGACATTCCACAACATTAAATGTCACTGTAAACAGATAAGAAGTTTAATATGTTCTTCTTTTATCAATTTTTAAAAATTGTTCTTGTTGGCAAGTTAGTGTGGTGTAAGAGGAATAAAACACTTCAGGATATGCTGTTATTGGAAAATGATCAGCTTCGGGGTGGTAGCACTTTTATATTTTCAGCATGCCCCTTTACATATTTCAGTTTAAATATAGTTTCCTTTACAGATGCATATATTTTCAATCCCTCGACTGACCTGTGCGTCTCTCTCTCTCTCTCTCTCTCTCTCTCTCTCTCTCTCTCTCTCTCTCTCTCTCTCTCTCTCCAGGCAGCTAACATGCCAGACGCAGAGCTCTTCGAGTTGATTTCGGAAAATCGCTCCATGTCCCGGAAGCTGGAAGACTACGGCGAGCAGAAGTCCACTTCCATCAGCACAGCCAAACGTCTGGCGGAGTTTCTCGGAGATCAGATGGTGAAGGATGCCGGTCTGAGCTGTCGCTACGTCATCTCTCGCAAACCCGAGGGCTCTCCTGTTACCGAGAGGTGAGGAAGAGCGAGATCGAGATGCTTTTCTACTGTCCTGAGCTTTCACACAAGTGCTTTCGCGTTAAATACACTTTTTTTGAAAAAAAGTTTTATTTTGACTTGCAGGCGGTTCTGAAAATGATTTGGTTACACTCAGTGCATGGAGGTCATGAAAGCCCCGCCTTTTGTTCTGTCGTTTTCCTTGCTTATCCTTAGCCAATCACTAGTGCTTTAACTCCCGGACTTGATCTGATTGGCTAAAGGGAGAGAGAGAAAAACATTATATATGTCCAAGGATCATTACGATGTAGCTGTGGTGAAATGATTGGCAATGACAAGTTTACAGAATTAACATCAGTTTAAAAAAAAAAAAAGAGTAGATGGTGTTAGAAACTATTAAATGTAGCTTTGTAGAACATTTAGAGATATGTTGTTTAGAGCGACACGGTGAAATAGAATCTGTTTTATTTATCCTGAAATTAAAGTTTTCCTCGTCTCTCTCTAAAGGGCGATTCCTCTGGCCATATTCCAGGCGGAAGCTAGCGTTAAGAAGCACTTCCTGCGCAAATGGCTGAAGATGCCCAGCCTCCATGACATGGACATCAGATCAGTATGTAGATATTGTCTAGATATGTTTAACTGTGATACATTGATTGTTGTTTCCTATATTTGCTTCACAGATAAAGTGTGTTGATGGTAGTGTTTGTGATTCAGATCCTGGACTGGGGTTACTACATTGAGAGATTGGGCAGTGCCATACAGAAGATCATCACCATTCCAGCAGCACTACAGCAGGTGAAGTTACACTCCCAATGTAAAGGAGTATTTCAGGTTTAAAAAAAACAAACAAAACAATTTCACACCATTTTCGCTTGCAATGAGCGGAACAGCCGGCATTTTTTCGTCCCTGATGTGGTTTTTTATCTAAGAAGATAATCAAACCTAACATCTTAGGTCAGGGAAAACATGTTGGATTTCACTGTGACACATTTTGGGCAAACAGCTACGAAATATAAAAAAATATATAAAACCACAGTTTGATTTTCTGCCTCTAACACACTTTACTGCGTCATGTTGAAGAAAACAATTTGCGAGTGTTTTTACTTCATTGTTATTCTTGTCTTGGCTTTCTACAAAGACCGGCTAGTTTAACACACATGGTGGTAAAAACAGACTAAAACCTAAAGGCCTAAAACCTTCCTTCTGATTTCCTCACGCAGTGAACGTCACGCTTTGATCACGTTGTCCGATTGCTACACGTCACAGTGAAACACACATTTTTCTCAGATACATATAAAAGAGAAACACATTCAGGAAAACCTGTAGTTTTTTTTTTTTTTTTTTTTTTTTTTTTTTAGAAGTATAGTAGAAATTTTCAAAACCTCCTCATGTGAAGGACACAAATACATAATATTTTTAGGCTCGTATGAGACATCTCATCCATTCACATGTATTCGCTTAACACACGTATCAAACCAGAGACTAACTACAGGGCTAGAGACATTCGCTCGGAAAAGGGAGAGTTGTATGTATAGATTAATTTTATTTTATTTACCCTCTGAGGTCTGTTTAGTGAAGTGATGACATGGTTTGATTAAACAAAACTGGTTGAGAAGACTGTTTAAAGACGACTGGATAGAGAAATGTTTAGATCCAGGACACGTGTTTCAGGCATCACTATGAAACAAAATTATCTTCAAATAGACTTATTTAGATCCCTGGTGGTATAGCGACTATGGATTCCGCGCTCTCACCGCCGCGGCCCGGGTTCAATTCCCAGGCAGGGAACCAACCCAGCCACTGAGAGTGTACTCTCGGTGCCGGTCCCAAGCCCGGGTAAAAGGGGAGAGTTGCGTCAGGATGGGCATCTGGAGTAAAACCTGTGCCAAATCAAACCTACGGACCAATGATCCGCTGTGGCGACCCCTAACGGGAGCAGCCGAAAGAACAGCAACAACAACAAGTCTTATTTATAGCCGTGAGCTAATGACTAATGTTTATGCCTTTAAAAGGTAACGTGATCATTCGGTCGTGATAGCTGCTTATCTGGAATTTTGTAAGCAAGAAACCTGACAGTGCTACACTGTTCAGCTTTTTATGTTTCTATATTTTTTTGGGCTAGTTATGTTTTATTTATGCCCATTTTTTTTTTTTTTGCTCAGGTGAAAAACCCAGTGCCGCGAGTGCGCCATCCAGACTGGCTGCATAAGAAGCTTCTGGAAAAGAACGACATCTATAAACAGAAGAAAATCAGCGAGATGTTCACCAGTGAAGGAAAGAGACAGGTATGCAGCGTCTCTCTCTCTCTCTCTCTCACACACACACACACACACACACACACACACACACACACACACACACAGCTAAATTTTTACTGTTATACTACCAACATTCATAATCTCTCTCTCTCTCTCTCTCTCTCTCTCTCCCTCTTTCTCTTTCTCTTTCAGGTGGCCAATCAGACAGAGCCAGGCGAGACTCCTGATATGGAGGATTTTGGGGCTCCACCGCGCCCCCTACAGCCTGCCATCCTCATTAGTACTAAGAGGAAGCGAGCATCTCAGGGTGAGGACAGCCAGACTCAGGAGTCTCAGGAGCTGGAGCTCACACAGTCCTGGAGAGAGATACTGGGTCCTCCGCCACCTATGGGTACAACACAGGTACTGCACACAGTACAGTATCAAAAAGAGCTAAGCGCAAAGATACGACGTCGCATTTCAACAAAAATACACATCACCCAGCAAACACGCACCATAGGCTAGGGCTGTCAGGACGAATTGCACCATTTAAGTACTTTTATTTATAGAGTTATATATAATATTAGTTATTATTTGATGCTTTCTAACCTGATCATGCTGTGCTCTCTGCACAGACTCAAGAATTTTTTATTTTTTTCCTATTAGGAAATAGCTACATGTTTCTAATTCGAATAATCCGTATTTAGGAGGAGAGGCTGGTGTGGCTGCGCTACCATAAGAAGAAGTGGGAGCTGCAAATCCGGCAGAGGAAAGAGCGCAGGAAGAGACGACGCATACTTGATGGAGAGGCTCAGCCAACCGGAGGCGGAGTGATCAGGGACGGACCGACCACAGGGCTAGGGAGCTTCCTCCGCAGGACAGCACGGAGCATTCTGGACATGCCCTGGCAAATAGTACAGGTATGACGGAAATAAAAAAAAATAAAAAATCAGTATTGGTGAATACTTGGTGTCAAATCTGAGAATTCACACTGCAAATGTCTGTTATAGTAATGAAACGGACACAGTGTACACCGAGTAGTGCAGGAGAGGTGGAAATTATGGGCTACCTGTGTTGAGAATTCACTGTAGAATGTGTTTTACAGAAGGTCAGCATCCAGTTTGAACATATCCTGAGCATTTGAAATGTATTTATATGTACACTATATGGCCAAAAGTTTGTGGACACCTGACACCTCACACCCATACGTGCTTCTTGAACATCCGAGTCCAGGTTTAGTCCCCCCTTTGCTGTTATAATAAGCTCCACTCTTCTGGGAAGCTTTCCATTAGATTTTGGAGCGTGGCTGTGGGGATTTGTGTTCATTCAGCTACAAGAGCATTAGTGAGATCAGGCACTGATGTTGAGTGGGTGAGGAGGTCTGGGGTGCAGTCGGTGTTCCAGTTCATCCCAAAGGTGTTCAGTGGGGATGAGGTCAGGGCTCTGTGCAGGACACTCGAGTTCTTCCACTCCAACCTTAACACACTGTCTTGAGGGAACTCGCTTTGTGCACAGGGGCATCGTCATGCTGGAACAGGTTTGGGCCTTTTAGTTCCAGTGAAGGGAAACTGTAATACTACAGCATACAAAGACATTCTATACAAATTGTGTGCTTCCAACTTTGTGGCAACAGTTTGGGGAAGAACCACATATGGCTGTGATGATCAGGTGTGCACATACTTTTGACCTTATGATACATTTATGCATAGTAATAATTTTCTCTAAAACAAACAGTTTTTGGATTACTCATAGTGGGGAAGTGAAACGCATGAAATCTGACTTCAATCTTAAATCAAATGTCAAGCTGCATACACATGAGTGTGTGGGTTGAAAAATTGGGCTTTTTTCAGGCTGCTCTTTCCTACTAGCCCAAAAATGCAACATGATCTTCATGCCGTGTTTTTAAAGCCCTCTTAAAATGTCTTTGGTATATTTTTGAATGCTAGATTATTAATTTTACGATACCTTTGGTCCTGAACATGAGTTTTGACAGTTATAAATAACTAAACTGAACTAAACATTTATTCATTCCTCTTCAGTAAGCTCTTTATCCTGGTCAGGTTTGCGGTCTATCCCAGGAACACGTATTTTTAACTTTTAAACCCAATAATGTATTTGTTTTTAACTCTTAACTGTCCACTAGATTGCAGAAACCAGTCACCCAGGCCTGTATAAGCTGTGGGCGGTGATCGGCACTGACCTGCACTGCATGAAGCTTAATATCCCACGAGTGTTTTATGTCAATCAAAGAGTGCCCAAGCAGGAAGAGGGGGCCACGTACAAAAAGGTTTGTCTACACCGAGGTACACCTGTTATTTATTCAAGAGCTCTCTAAAACGTGACGGTCACTGGTTGAAAAGAAAATCCGATTTTAATTCAAGTTTTTTTTTTTTTAATATGCAGGTGAACCGGATTTTGCCGCGCTCCAGCGTGGCGTATTACCTGTACCAGTACTCTGTGCCTGAAGACATGTATCAGGAACACATCAATGAGATCAATGCAGACCTTTCTGCCCCAGACATAGAGGGCGTCTACGAGACACAGGTAATGGAACAGACAGACGGTTCAGATAACGGCGATAAAAAGCATCACTTTGCCTCTAGCGCACTGTAAATGGAGCTGTAAGCCTAAGAGGCAAGTACTGTTATAAACTAGGGCTGAACAATTATCCTGAATTTATTCTTGATCCCAGCTTTTGGCAGTTTCAATTAATTACACACAGTTGATTGACATACTGGGGAGTTTTTGTATCTGATTGGCTAAAATTAGATTTTAAAATCGCGAAAGATTCACGTATGAAAAAAGCATTCAAAACAGCAATAAATAAGAGCTAGGGAAAAAAAAGAAAAGAAGATTTTACATTAATTTGCTGGTTTAATTTGCACCTTTAACACGAGGGACCTCTTTTCTCATTTTGGAAATAGAGCTGATTATTTAGAATTATTCAGGTTAATTTCCTATAAAAACCTCTAATTCAACAGAGTAGTTAATGTGAAATTGTATCATGTACTGTATTATTTATTCATAGCAGAAAAAAGTCATCTCTGAGAATACTTTAAGAGGATTTACGTCTGGTGTTTGGAGTTAAAATGTCAAGATCATTCTGTTCATTCTTTCCTGGTATCATGCTAGGTTCCTGTTTCTACTAGATTTAGATTGTTCTTTGGTTAATTACAGTAATTAATACATTTAATTTTCTTTTTTATATTTAGTAAAATAATTCTGGCCAAATAATAGAAATTTTAAGCATTGACCACATCCTGCAATTTTAATTTTAAGCATTAACCACGTCACTGTCAGATTTATTTTATTTTTTTTAATATAAAGTGTGTCTGTGTGTGGGTCCTGCAGGTGCCGCTGCTGTTCCGGGCGCTGGTGCAGCTCGGCTGCGTGTGTATGGTGAATAAGCAGGTGGTGAGGGCGCTGGCTGGCCGAGAGGCCGACACCTTCGAGCTGGAGCACCTGGAGATGAGATCGCTCGCTCAGTTCAGCTACCTGGAGCCAGGTAACACCCTCAGCTACACAGTGAACACTGAGAATAATCCCCAGATCATGATTTTATCTGAGGGAGCATAATGGACCATCTGCTTTTCCTCACTTGGGACCAGTCAGCACTGGTGTTTTGTAGTCTTACTGTATGCTTTGCGCTGCAGGCAGCGTGAGACACATCTACCTGTACCATCACAGTCAGGGCCACAAGGCTCTTTTCGGCCTCTTCATCCCCTCTCAGCGCAAAGCCAGCGTCTTCGTCCTTGACACGGTCAGAGCCGCACTTCCTTTTATAACTGATTTCTCTTCTTTTTCTACATCACATGACGGCTGCATTTACAGATTGATTGCGTATTCTGATTCTCAGCGCTTCTAGTGGTATAAAAATGCTTTGTCTCCCACGTTTCTGACTGACCCCGTGTCACCCCGCCGCAGGTTCGGAGTAACCAGATGCCGAACTTGAGTTCGCTGTATGGAGCGGAGCGCACTGCGCTGTTAGAGAAGACCTCAGAGGAGCTGCTGCCCCCTGAGAAGCACCTGTTTGAAGTGCGCGCTGAGAACGACGTGAAGGCCATTTACCGCGCAGTGCAGCGCATTCTGCTCAGCTATAAGGTACACGCCCGCCATGATGGCTCTGCACGTGTCACACTCTTTCACCACAGTGACTCTGAACATTTCAAAAAGTGCCAGCTTTTTTGTTCAGTTCAGTCTTTTTTAATGATGGAAAATTCTTACATATCATACTAATTTATATCACAGCACTGTTGAATTCTTGAACCCGATTGGTTCGAGGTGTTTGTTAATTTTCTCTAACAGCAGCTCGGACAGTAGTGCCGGCTGCTTGACCGTCTTGTGTGGCGGACATTCCATATAATCCAAGGCTAATTTCTAAATCTAGACATGAAATCTAAGCTTCCTTCCTTATAAAGTGAATCTTTGAAGACGCTTTGTAACAGTCAGAGGTTAAAATCGCAAGTTTTCCGGCACAGAAAGTCGTCGGGACAGAGGGCTTTGCGCTTTGCGGGTTCTCTGTAACATGACAAGCTACTTTTTTTTTTTTGT